ATGTTGAAACTTGGCGAAACGGAAGTAGACAAGAACGAACGACCATTGTATCCTCATAAAATCTTGAACACAAAGGTCGGTCCTAGCGTTTGCATTATGTGGTTGTCTTCTATTACCAGTAATTTAATATTGTAGGTGTTAATAAATCCTTTTCCGGACATTAAGCCACGTGTTCCTAAAAAGAAGGCAATCAAGAAGGAAGTGGTGGTGATCAAACCAATGCCAAAAAAGTAACTGTGCGAGAACTAAGCTAATTTAAATATACATGTCGTAGGAGTGCTGGTGATGCTTTGTTATATTTTGCTCTCCACAAATCCTACCTTTGGGTCCACATGGCGGAAAGCAAACGGCGGTCACAATAATAGATCACACAATAAAGTTGATTGTGAGGGACTGTATTCTCCCCAGGTAGCATCGAAGGATTAAACAATGGCGGTGGCGGTGGTCGAATGCGTTTAGGGGTCTAAAGCAATTTTCTGACTGATAGCGGATTGCGGCATAGTTCGGTCACCGGACCGATGTTTTTCATTTACTACATGGAGCCGGAGAGGCAGTTAGGTACTTTGGCAGATACTTCGGTAGACGATGCTCCATCTGTCAGGATGCCAGTTACACAGTTTGTATTATGCTTACGACATCACGATCATTGAAACGAAGCCGGAAGAAATTCAGTAAGCTTTGAGGGTTATAGAAACACCTAGTGCTAAGTACGGGCTGAGACTGAAACTATCCAAATGTAGAGTGCTTGCCTCACGGTGTGCTCTTGAGGTTGTCAACGCCGTGAAAGTGTATGATGAAGATGTGCAGTATATCGCCAAGTTCTGCTGTCTTGAATCGATAATCACCGTGAAAGCTGTAAAACAGATATTGAAAAAAGAATCAGGAAGACTCGAATTGCCTATAACATGTTGTATCAAGATCTACTTAAAGCTGTTCTCAGAACAGCAGAGAAATTCCATGTATATCTTACCGCTATTCTGCCAGTGCTTATGTATGCTGCAGCAATATGGATTCTTACCAATCGTGAAAACCAATGCGCTAGACGTCTGCGGTCTAACTGATAAGATCACGAATGCACAATTGTTTGAGTACTGTACAAGAGACACCATTTGAGTACATCGAACAGGGATTAACATCAACTTTTCCTCAAAGGACCCAAAACTAAAACTCGTTCTTCGGCATGCCCTATGACGGAACAACAAACGTCTGATCAACATGGTTCACACCACGCATCACCCTCTTGTTTAACAATGCTTGATGAGTCATTTAGACATGTCATGAGCTAGATATTTGATTACCTACATGACCAGATGCGTCGTTACTCAGCAAACAGAGAACAGTGCCTAGCACATCATCAATGATAAAATGACAAAAATATAGGGTTGTATGACGGAATGTATTAATATATTCAAAATTTCGTTCTTTATGGTGGAATCTGGTTTTACTGAAATTATATGTATTTGAGCGAACCGGTATTCTCATACTCTAATTTATAAAATGGGGGTTAGTATAGTCAGTTAGTAGGTTGGATTGCACACTGGAGAACGGGTTGAGATCAGCGCGTGGTGTAAATTTTCTTTTGTTGGCTGTTAATCCACATGAGTAAGGAATTCACCCCATTGTGCTTCGATGCAACCAGCTGAAAAGAAAGGATACCATGTCGTTGTCGAATAGTAGTTACAACATGGTGCTTTGATGTTGCCATGCTAGTGCATGCAAGACATATGGCCATGGTGCCTGCCTGATGCATGCACCATACCTCTGCAATTCGCCTTGACCTACCTTGTAGGTTAATAAAAAATCGGCAGAAGGTAGAAACGTAAATTTACTTTAACGTAAATTTTAAAAAATGTCTTTAATAGATCTGAAAAATTTTGACGCAAATATTTAAGCATGGCACCGTTAAATATGAATATCGGTACACTGAACAAACAAATTAATCGGCTTTTATGATGCTCCCAAAAATAATTCAGCGCTTGTGTACAGTTGACACACTCGTAGTAACTGTAGTAGCATCGGTAGTTATAACAGTAATAGCAGCATGTTTCCTTGAACGTGCTTGTATACAGGGGAGTTTCACCATGCAGTATCACAAACATGACTAGTCATCCAAGGACAAAGACTGAGGTTTGATTTTCTTCGCTTTAAGGTGTGACTTCGTTTTCTGATCTTTGTTACCGTCAGTGGATAATTTCTTTCTCTAAGAATAGCATCTTGATTCTGAGGGATCACACTATTGCAAAACGTTTGGCTTACGTTTTTCTCTTTTACAGACTTAAGCGAGTAAACCTTGTATAACGCTGCTTTAGTGATATTCAGAATGGAACAATTTATGATGACCTTTTTAAGGAACCTAAAGCTGCTTTCTTTTGGTGATGAAATGGAAGAGGAAGAAGCATCGTTTGAAACGAATAAAATCAGGTGAGGTTCTTAATCATGCTCCTGTCATCTCCATCTTATCGAAAATGTTTCACAGTAAGAAGAGTGCACATGATTTGCTGTCTGATGACCCTGTTTTGCGTGCCGAGCCAGCGATTACCGACGACGAGATGCGAAGAATCAGAGGAGATGCTGAAGTAAGTTCTAGGAATTGGTTGTTGAGGGTTGATTACCTAAAAATGCGACTTGTCAATTTATCACCAAATATTCCGTTAGGCACTAGACGTTGAAGAAACGGAAGAAGAACGTGAAATTTCGAAGAAAAATGTAATAGAAAAACTTCGAACAATTTCATCGAAAAAGCAGCCCTTGGCAGAAAAACCGGCTCAAGTAGACGATGATCTCAACATGATGCTCGATGAAGAGCACCGATCCAGTGAAAAAGAGCGCCTGTAGGAAGCTCATAGAATTCTTTACCTTTAGTTTTTTAATACTTTACCCTTTAAAGAGATGCGATCAAAGCTGAATTTCATAAGTTACAGAAGGAATACTCAAAGCTGATTAAAAAGAAAAACGAAAATGATGATAACAGAGGTCGGTGTTATAAATTTTTCCTCATTTGCTTTCGTAAACTTCCTTAGCATTCAAGTAATGATTGTTTGAATGAATGGATGGTTTTGCTCCTTGTATATGTACGATAAAGCATTGTCTTTCAGGATCAGAAGTGAAACAAATTTAGAATTAAGCAGTATGCAAATGTCTTACCTCGCTTTATGCTATGTTCATAAATGGCCTAGGCACCTGCTCATTTGGTGTACTGCTTAATGTATAACGATGTTTAATTTTTTTGGATGTTTAAAGATATGGTCCCCTTCCTTGTATTCAAGCAGTATGATACATACATTTGTTCACTTTGTTCTTGTGTTAGTTTAATACTCTAAAACAGCGAGAAATATGGCTATGTTTAACACAACAATGTAGCCAGACACAAGCTTAACAGTTAAATTAGTACTGATGTTTCTGTCCGTTTCTCTGACAGCAGCATTTTTTAAACCATGATTGCTTCATTTTTTTTCGTCATTTGCAATGGCACTATGTTTCAGGCTATACAGTAAATCTTCGATCAGTGCATTTGCCTTAGTGGTAATTTTCTGAACAGGAGTAGTCCTGTAACGGTTAGTTAGGGTTCGTGAAGGTAGTGGATATGAGTGCATGGTTAGCAGCACGAAAGCAAGTAAAATATTTATCTACAACTATGCCAATGTTTCGACTGTATTTGCATCGGCTATCATCAGGTAATGAACAAAGCGGAAAACATTTCTTTGGTCAGTTGGTGCTTGACCTGATTGGCGCAATGTATGTTCAGTAAGCAATTAATTAATTGTACTTAACTCCATAGAATTGTCTAATGGAGCTGTCACAAGTTCAAATTTTGCTGACTGTGATGCCCAGCGATTTCTTGATTAGCGGTTTCCTCTTGTCTTGATGTTCATCGACCACCATAGCATCGCTGTTGTGAAAGTCATAACCGTTTTCCAGGGCATTGACAAGAGAAGCAAAATGATCAGCGTAACAGTGCCTAATCACTTCTATTCCGGTAGTGTAGTTTTTAACGCTCGACAGATATTATCGATATAAATGCGATCACAGTTATTGCGTGCAATTTGATGGACAAAGTTTCTACTCTCCACGCTGTCGGGACGATCAGGCTCATAGTAAACAGGTTTCTTGAGGTTTTGCCTCTTTTAAAAATGTTTTGGGCGTACCTTTTTGAATATTGTCTGATTTCTTTCTGAAGGTACGATTTATGATTTTAGATATTTCTGCTGCTGTGTTCATGAACTCCATTAAAATATTTCGTTGACAG